CCCCAAAACCCCAAAACCCCAAAACCCCAAAACCCCGAGTCATGAAATTGAATAAGTTATCAATAATAAAATAAATAGATCAATTAGGCTAAGATTTTAGTAAAAATAGTTAGTTCTTTTATTTTAATAACACCTTCTATAAAATGATAGAGGAGTTTCAAATAGTATCATAGACTAATTAAGATAAAGACTATGCTGATAGAGATAACCTCACTGTCTGAGAAGTGATAGTTGCTTTTCAAGTTTATTAATGTCCTCTTTAAGATCTTTGTATCTCTTGAACTCGTGATCAACAGCTTTAATATCTTTCTTGAACTTAATTCTTCTAGCATTAGTCTTCTCAAACTCTCTCCTGAAATTGTCAAGAGTTGATCTAAGCAAGATTCTCTCTTTTTTGAACTCCTCTATCTAAATCATAATTTCTTATATCTATGATTGCTGCTACTGCTGCATTTGCGATCTTTGCTTATTAGCCATAACATTACTCTGAACAGGTTACTATTGCAGCACTTATTATTACTGTTGTGATCCTACAGAAGCTGAGTTGGGTCTTTTTTCTTTCTTTTGATTATTACCAATTAGGTTATTTCCATTGACTATTTGAGTCTGCTTGTGCTCATCAAATTGATAGGGATTAGAATTGATATTTTCCTTCCTTTCGTTGCTTACTCCGTGATGTTACTACTACTAGTTTTGATGATAGAAGTTGATTTATTAGACTTATTGATTCATGTATTAGTTTCTTGGATCAAAAGCCTATGGTTACTGCTGCTAATAGCCTGGATAGTTCTATTAGACATTTGGTCCACTACCTTACTTGAACTACTGTTACTATTGTTGCTGTTAAGAGTTCTTAGCATATACAGTCTTCTAAGATTCCTGAGTTGGATTATGAACTTATTGCTACTGAGAAGAAGGTTGTTGATAGTTGAGGTTGTTGTTATCTAGTAGTGAAGCCATAGTTACTGCCTAGGCAGACTTTCTGACATTATTCATATCATTCTTGGAGTACTATTGATAGCCTGCTTAATTTTGGCCAAGCTCCTAAAATTTCTAAGATTGAGCTTTTTAGCTTAATGATTAATGTTTGCTAGAATGGGTCCAGGCAAATCCAGATGAATTTGAGTTTGATTAAGTTGTATGAGGACCAATGTTATTGACTAAGCCTCCAACTGAGTTAATTGATTTCAACTCGACACTACCTCTTACACCCATCAACCTGCCTTACGGGTCTTTATCGATTTAAGTTAAGGAGTTTGAAGTTGAGTGATTTACTGTTGTCGCTCCTTATCCAGCTGAGTTTTTCCTTGATCCAATTTGTTTCTGCTAGCCCAAATCAACTGATTATTGCTTGGACGAAACATTTTATGCAACTTGATTATTCTTGCCAACAATAGGCTACTCTTATGGTTACTTCTTATTGCCAATAGTAGGATTGACTCCTGCAGTATTAGAGTTTAAATCTTGAAGGGTCAGTGAATTAGCATAAGCATTTGTGAGGGATCCTTAATTAGTAACACTATTTTCTCTAGAATTATTGGCAGTCATGCTTCCAATAGAATAATTGTAGTTTGAAGACTACTTACTACCATTACTAGTAGTAGAGTTCGCTCTGTGCTATCCACTTACTTACTACTGCTACTAAGCATTATTAGGTTAGTCCTTTTAATTTACATTGCCTGATCCACCATTGTTACCACCTCTCATACCGTTTCTCTAGGCATTCACGATTAAGGTTTTCAGCTTCTTATAGTACATATATAAAGGTCTGAGTGGCTCCTTGTCAGTCTTGGCTGGCTACTTGGAAAATAAAGCAATGAAAGTCTAATCATATTTTTTCAATTCACTTTTAACACTTCGCTTAATTTTGTTCAAGTCATCGAAACTTAATTAAGAAAGTGGCTATCCTCTGAAGAGATACTATTTGCAATCTATTTAAAGTCTCTCTATTGAATCTTGCAAGAATTTTTTCCCTTAATTAGAAACCCATTCTTATGGCATGAGTCCACCTTGAGTATCACCTTGCAAAAGATTTGAGGTAGATCCTCTACCCATTGGAATATCTATTCTTGATTCATTAAGTTGAGATGAGTTTTTGAAAAACTTCAAGTGGGATGTTCTATTTATGGTGAATAGTTATGCAACTGTTCCCGTCATGATTTCATTAAGTATTTCGAATTCCATTCTGAGTGTAAATGATGAAGTGAGGATTCGTAAAAGTTATTTAAGAATTTAAATTTGAATTATTTGCCTTATTTATTTATCTTATTTTATTACCAATAGTTATTCTTACTATAGGGGTTTTGGGGTTTTGGGGTTTTGGGG